GCTAATAACGCCCATAAAAGGCGGCCTCTCCAGAGATGTTCTGTAACTCGGCTCCCGCGCGCCTACCGCTGGCGGCTCCCTCCGCCTCCTCCGCCCCGCCCTCCTCGGATACCGAGGCTGGGCCTGCCGCGGCCCTGGGGAGGGGGCACCCAGAGGGTTTCTAGAGGCTAAGAAACCCCGCCCCGCACCCTTCTGAGCCTCTTCTGTCTCCAAAGGTAAGTAGACCCCCGCTCTTCCAACCCAGCCTCAAGGTTAGCCGCACATCCTCCCACCTCCACCCGCCAGGCCGATTGCCCCCACTTCAGTCCACCCGCGCCCCGCCTCCCCGGGAATGGGGGCTTGGATTTGGGATTTGTAGAGGCTGGGGAGAGTAGACCCCAAATAGATCTCAGCCTCTCCCCAGTGCTAGGCCTGGCGACAGGCCATGGTCACAGCGAGCCTCTGGCTGTGGGGCAGAGGGCACTTGGGCAGTCTCCCCCCATACCGAGCTTCGAGGTCGCAGAGACCAGGCCCGGGGCTCCCGGATACGGTGCAGGCGGCTGTGGGTGTGGCGTTTGATGTGTGTGTGTGTGTGTGTGTGTATGTGTGTGCGCGCGTGTGTTTTAACTCGGTCCCCACACCTTTCCTGACACTCAGTAATTCACTAGGCGGAGGAGATCCTCTGCTGGCGGAGGGGGAAAATGTCAGAGTCGGGAAACTATTTAACTATTAACGCGCTGAAAGGACAGAGAAACTGGGGGGAGTGGGCCCATTTAGGGATGCTCAGGTGGTCTCCCAGATGTTCCCGCCTGGGACCCCCAACCCCACTCCCTTCCGGAGTGGCAATCAGGCTGGGGTCTTATGGAGGGAGGGCCCCAGAGATGCCGCAGAAAGTTTGGAGGTAAGGACGCTGCAGACCCCAGGCAGATTGTGTGAGCCTGAAAGCCTGACTAGACCCCCCACCCCAGGTTCTTCTGACGCACCCCCTCCCCACTCCAGGCTGCAGATGCCTAGAAGGCAGCACCTGGAGCAGGGATCTCCCATGCTTCCTCTGAAATCCCCGGACACCCGGAGGGGTGGCTGGCAGCCAGGTGGGCTCCAACCCCTGGAGGAGTTAGCAAAGGAAAGAAAAAGGTGGCGGAGCACCCCTTCCCACCCCTCAGCCTTGTCTGAACCCAACAAAGAGGCTGTACCAAGCCTGAGCTGCCTCAAAAGAACGAAACAGAGAAGACTGTAGGGTCGGGCGGGGTGGGGGGGGCAGTCCTTCCTCATCTGCCGCCCTTCATCTCCCCTCTCAACGTCTGCTCAGTTCCTACTCACACTCCGTCAGTGTCCCAGGCCCTGCCTCATTTGCATACGGGGCAGAACCGCTTTCTGCAAACTAGGCAGTGACCTTGAACTGGGCCGCTGTGGCCTCTCCACTGACCATGGAGAAGGCAGCACCGTGTGGAGTACTTCTGACCTGGGGTCCTCGGGGGAGCCAACTCCCGGCAGTTCACAGCCTCTCCATGGTGGCCTGAGCCTCCCGCAGCCGCCTTGCCCCTGCCACCAGAGCGGGCATGGATGTTATAATAACTCCTGCCGCCGGGCTGGGCTTGGCAGGGACTCGAGGCCTCTCGCAGAGGCCGCGAAGATGCGGGAGGGATGAAGGCACAGACAGAAGGTGCAGGAGAGGCGGTGGGACAGCCAGCTGGTGGGTGTGCAGGAGCAGGAGGGCTGCCTCGGGTCTTCAAGGAAAGCCTGGGGCCACATCCTAGCCTTCAGTTTTAATTAACCCCTGAGTTAATGAGCGGGGCATGGTTGAGCCAGGCCAGCTGCAGCAGGAGCTGGAGGCTCAATGGCCAGCAGGCAGGCCGCCTCTTCAAACCTTGGGATTTGACGAATGTGCGGGAGAGCAGACGCACAGAGCTCTCAGCAGTTCCAGAGCCTGGATCTGGCCAATTATAGTTTTGCGTGTGGGCTGCGAAGTGCCGGTGGATAAAACTCGGCTAGACGCGGCTGCCCAGCGCTTTGGGTTGCGAGTCCCTCCCAGATCCCCTTCCTGAGCCCCAGTAGGTTCTTGGCAGGCGGCTCCCGCCGTGGCCGGATTTAAATTTGAAGCTTTGCACCCGAGCCTCCCGCCGGCCCCGGGGACCCAGGCTGGGCGCCGCGCTCGGGGGCCCGCTTGTGGGCGCCCGGGTTAAAGAGGGGGCTGAGCGGCGTGTGCGGTGCGGTGCCTTAAAGGTGGACAGATCCGCGGTGGTGCACTTAGATTGCCTGTGTCCGCGCCGGGATTCTGGAAACCCCTAGGCTCACAATGGATCTCGAGGAGCAGAACACTGGGGATGTGAACGTTGCTGAAGGTTCCCCGCAGCTCTCACTGAGCGGAAATCAGGGTCAGCTGCACGCTGCGAAGAGGGGTTTGTGCGTGTGCCATTGTCCACAGAGTGGCAACCCCTGGGGGAAAATGCCCTTTTCGGATGGGGCCAAATCGGAGGGGGAGAAACTGTGTTCCTGGAAGAAGAAAGCCCTCCCTCTGTTCTCAGTTTCCCGGGCATTGCCTCTGCCGCCCGGTGGCCGCTGCTCTGTGTGCTCCGGGGCCTGGCTGGAGGGCAGTGTGCTGGGCTGTGGGCTGAAGGTTCTCTGGCTAGAAAGGGACAAGGAGAGTCAGGGACCTTCCTCCTGGGGTCCCCTTTCTGGGAGACTGGAGTCATCTGGAAGGGTAAAAGAGGATGGGGAGAAGCCTCTACCCCACGAGGACTAGGGATGACTGTGCACAGCCCAGCTCCGCGACCCTCATACCAACAATAGCCGCGGAGCACAGAGGCCTGGAGGCCCGGATACCTTGCAGCCGGTGCAGTGTTCTGATAGAAAACAGCAACAATATTCAAGTCACACCCTGTTTATCTTTATTACCAAAATAACCCCCAAATAAAATTTTTAAAAATTAAATTTTCAGTGGTGCTCATTAATGCATCTGGAAACGGGGGCATGCATAAGATGCTAGAGATGCTGTGACGTGGAATTTGCAGCTCAGGGATGCTCCTTTCTGCAGCCGCGCAGCCCCTTAATCAATTAAGCACAAAAAGGCCAGTCCAGGCGGTCTCCTGCCCGCCGCTCGGCGCCCTGGCTCGCGCCGTTCTGACTGGAGGTGACTGCGCGGGGCTAGCATCTCACCGTTCGGACTCGGTTCCGGCAAGTTGGCCCGGCGAGTGCCTGGCGCGGATCGGGCTCCCAGGGGCGGGGGCGCCCTGGCCGGACCGCCCGGAGGTCCGGGCAGGGAAGGGGAAGTGGAAGAGGGGCGGGCGCCGCGCTGCGAGCCCTGAGCTGCGCCGGGCTGGGCGACGCTCGCTCGTGCGGACACATTTCTGTCCGAGGGAGCAGTTCTGGTTGGGGATATGAAATCGCCCGGCGAGCTGTGGAATTTAAAGAATCTGCTTTTCTCTCTGCCGCGTTCTGCAGAGGAGAGAGAGAAAAAGGGAGATGAGAATCTTCGGCTTCGGTTTGCTTTTGTAGCTTCGGCTCATTCTCAGATACTTAACTTTCACCTACATGGGTTTCTTTCTGCCATATTCTTGCGGAGACTCTCGGTTTCTCCAAATTTCTCTAGGTTTTCTGGTGTTTTCCGCATTTAGACGTTTGCTGAACTATCTACTTTACCCTATATTACTCAAAGCCATGCATTGTATAGGAGCTTGGAACAAGCAAATAGAAATCTGAGTATTTTGCCTACCAGACACCAATAGAATACATCTAGTTTTGAAGGCTTTGTTTTGGTTTTCACTTTAATCTCCTTATCTGTGTTCTGTGGACTTGCTTGGGATGGGTTTGTGGTTTCCAGGTGTCGATTAATCTCATCAACGGCCAGCGTTGAATTCTCAACCTTGTCCGGAAGGAGCTGCTGAGGTTAGCACCATAAATATAATTTTAAACCCCAACAAGGTAATTCTCCGGAGTCCTCTCCCTCACTCCCAGCATACCTACAGGGATTGGCACTGCTATCTGATGGTCCCAGCAGCAGGCGGGGCTGGTTCTGGTGTGTGGGGGTGTCTTCTGCTGTGGGAGTCCTGAGCCTCTCAGGCCAGCCAAGCCCTAATGAGGTCCCAGAGCCTCTTGCTGCAAAGACTCTGGAAGACCCCCAGAAGCCCATCTGACCCACAGAAGTCAAAGGCAAGAGTAGTTCAGGCCCCCAGATTTTCAGGAGCAGGTAGTCAGGTCCACCTAGAGTCAGGCACCTCCTTTTTTTGGCTTCTTCTGCCTCCTTTCTGCGTCCCTCCTCTAAGGGTGAGTGAAAGTGTGAGGCTGGAGTGGCTCCCAGCTCCAGGGGCGAGGAATACCCAGCATTAATAATTCTCTCATAGTCCTTCCTAGAGGAGAGGACCCCAAGTGCCTCCCAAAATTCCTGAGGAGAAAGAGCTGAGGAAGAGGAGCACAGCAGCGGCAGGGCTGGGAAAGACAGTGGCAGGAAAATCTGTCCTTACCCCCACTTTGCCTCTACTGTAAATAAACCCAGAGCCAAAGGGCTCATCCGTCTCCTTAAACAGCCAGTAAACTTTATATGACACAATATCTAATAGTAATTTATTGGGGAGATATTGTAAATTCCAACGGTTTTAGTTAATAAAGGAGCTAATTAAAGAGGGACAGGCTGTGCTTGGCCAGCTGTTGGCGAGAAGATAATACATCTGGGGGGGGGGGAGTGCATGGTGCAGAAGTGCAGATGTGTGGGTATTTTTGGTGTGGCTTTTTCCCTCTTGCCCCGTGTCCGGCGATTGCCTCACTCTCTGCATTAGGTTTTATATGATATTTTTAAAAACCAGAATCCAGCGAATAAATCTGCCCCAGCATTTTGTCCCCCCCACCCCGAGTGGGGAAGGGGAAGTTGGAGTTGGTGCGGGGTGTGGGGGATTCGCTGTCCCCACCCATCCCCCTGGCGGCGGGGCCCACGTGAGCTGGATGGCCAATGGGTGGCTGGTGCAGGTTTAACTATGTTTAATGTCAGATAGCAATAAAGTAGAAGCTGCCGGTCGGGCCCCGCGGAAATGGGCGAGCATAATCTCCTGAATCCCGGGTTTGTGGGGCCGCTGGTGAACATCCACACGGGAGACACGTTCTACTTCCCCAACTTCCGCGCGTCCGGGGCGCAGCTGCCAGGGCTGCCTTCGCTGTCCTACCCGCGCCGCGACAATGTGTGCTCGCTGCCCTGGCCGTCGGCGGAGCCCTGCAATGGCTACCCGCAGCCCTATCTCGGCAGCCCGGTGTCGCTCAACCCGCCCTTTGGCCGCACGTGCGAGCTGGCGCGAGTGGAGGACAGCAAGGGTTACTACCGCGAGCCCTGCGCGGAGGGCGGCGGCGGGGGCCTGAAGCGTGAGGAGCGCGGGCGCGAGCCGGGCCCGGGAGTCGGGCCGGGGGCAGCGTTGCTGCAGCTGGAGCCGTCGGGGCCGCCCGCGCTCGGTTTCAAGTACGACTACGCGGCCGGCGGCGGCGGTGGCGACGGTGGCGCGGGACCCCCTCACGACCCACCCTCGTGCCAGTCACTGGAATCCGACTCCAGTTCGTCCCTGCTCAACGAGGGCAACAAGGGCGCCGGCGCGGGCGACCCGGGCAGCTTGGTATCTCCTTTAAACCCCGGCGGCGGGCTCTCGGCCAGCGGTAAGGACCCCAGCCCACTCGTGAGGCGTACTCAGGACCGGACAGCTCTCCGGGGGCGGGCAGTGTAGGACTGAGCTAGGGCCGCCTGGGGTGACAGAATGTGTGGTGAGGAAGGGCTTCCTTTAAAAAGAAGTACGGGGTGGGGGGGCGCCTATAAACATGTAAATATCCCCATAAAAGAACTGCACAGAGTCCCCTTTTCGCCGACCTGCGGCTGGAGGGGGCAGGGAACTCCGGAGAAGGGGACTCTGACCGACATTTCCCCATGCCTGGGGTGGGGACTGAGACCTTGGTCCCTCTCTTTAGGGCCTCTCCCTCCGCCTTCACACAGGCTCCGTTACCTACATTTTTCTTTTCAAGAAACGCCAGTGGACCCGGTTTACTCTGGCCACTTGCTCCTATCTGTTCTAGCTGATCAGGGACCCCATCCTGGAGATTGTGAAAAGAAGGGGCCAGGATATCCGAGAGAAGAAGAGGTTTGGGGAGAAATGAGGGGATCGGAACCCAGAAGGGTCAGAGATACTACAGTGGGAGGTAGGGTTGAGGAGGCAAGGATGAGTGAAAGGGGAAAAAGAGAATGATGAAGGTGGGGGAGTTGATGGGGATGAGGATCTGTGTACAAGTGAGGGGATGAGACAGAAGAGCCAGGGCCTAGGGGTGGGCTGTAGGCCAAGGTGAAAAGGGCTGGGGAAGGACCGAGGGCACTGGGCTTGTCACCTCTTGGTCCTCTGGCCAACGCTGCCGGTTCGTCTCCACCCAGGCGCGCCCTGGTACCCGATCCACAGCCGCTCCCGGAAGAAGCGCAAGCCCTATTCGAAGTTGCAGCTGGCGGAGCTGGAGGGGGAATTTCTGGTGAACGAGTTCATCACACGGCAGCGCCGGAGGGAACTCTCAGACCGCTTGAATCTTAGTGACCAGCAGGTCAAGATCTGGTTTCAGAACCGGAGAATGAAAAAGAAAAGACTTCTGTTGAGGGAGCAAGCTCTCTCCTTCTTTTAGGGGGCAAGACACGGGCACCGGCCCCGGACTGAGCCTGTCTCTGACAGAGAGCAAGAGGGGGCGCTGCCTGGGACACAGTCCCCGCTTAGAACGCCAGGCATCTCTGGCAGGCGCTCCTTGGACATCCTCTTGTCTGTTTTGTTTGTGGTTCCCTCCCACACACCCCTCAGCAGGCCCTGCCAGGTCCCAGAGAGAAGGGAAGAACCCAACCAGGGAGAGAGGAGCTGCAGGCTGGGGATAGGGACAGGGAAGGCTGAGGTGCTGGGGAGGGGCTGGTTTGCAGTGGAACTGGGGCATTTGGCCTCCGTCTGAGGATCTGGGGGAAAGGTAATCTGCCCCCCAACCCCTCTCCCCCGATCTCCTTCCTTGGTCTTAAGCCAGCCTGCGGTAGGCAAAAGTGGAGACAGTGAAACCAAGTCTCCCCAAAGTCCCAGTAGCTGGGGTTAGGAGAGGGAGAGAGGAGGCAGCAAGAGTGGAGGGTCGGTGGAGAGATTGGAAGGGGTTAGGGTAGCTCTGGGAGGGTAGGAGGAAGTGCAGTTTGGGAGAACAGAGTGATCAGTAATGCTCAAGTCCACTGGGGTCTGGTCCTCTAGGCCTGGAAATGGAACAGGCAGAGGTGCAAGCACGTTTGGCAGACCTGGCTGCGGACAGGGAGATCATCAGCCTTATGTCCCCTCTAGGGCAGCCTGCTGGAAAAGTCTCCTGGTTCCTTCTCCCGATGGCCCTGCCCTCCCATTCGCTCACAGGTGTGCAGCCATCCACTCTTCCTGCCGCCTAGGCGGCTGCGGACCGGAAGCCGCAAGCACGGGATTGCGAGCTGAGCGGATGCAGCCTCAGGGTTAGTAACCACCCCAGGGACCCCCACCTGGCCCACCAGGAAGCCCAAGAGGCTGTGAAAGAGGCTTGCGAACCTAGCACTGATTGGCCGGGAGAGTTTCTGGCAGCCACGGCTACCGCGGCTGATTCTCCCTTCCCCGCTGGCGTTCACGGTCACGGCCGGCCAGAGGCTGGACCGGCATAATTTACGAGGCAGGAGGAGAATCTGCCCCTAAAGCGGCTACCGGCCACGGAGGCCCCAGCTCAGCCCGGGTTTCCCAGGCCGGTGACAATGAAGGAGGGGGCGCTGCTGCCCCCCACACAACTCCTTTCTCTCTTTTACCCACCCCCACTCCACCCGGCCCCAGCGTTGCCCTTTGTCTCAGGATCCGCTGCCTGGGCCTCACCCTAGATGGCGAGCCTCCTAGTAGGAGGACCAGAGCAGGAGGGGCACATCCCCAGAACTGGTTGGAAGCCAGAGTGGCTTCTTCAGCCCAGGACATTTTATTCATAGCCCCCTTCAGGCCCCAGCCCCAGTCCAATAGATCTAGGCTAGCTTAGGAGAGAGAGGCAGTGAAGAAGCCCCGCCGCACCTTCCTGCACTCTTGGTGAGAGCCCCTGGACGTCCCCCTCTGCTGACTCACCCTTGCCAGGAGTAAGAAGGTGAGAAGAGGGGACTGATGGGAGTTAAGCCCAGCATGCACAGTGTGAACTGGCCTGCTAGCTTGGAATTCTTCCTGCCTGGGAAGAGTGTCCCCTAACCCACCCTCAAAAGGCAATCCCCAGAGCCTCCCACTCTCCCACCAGCACACAGCTTCAGGTCCCCCATACAGGATTGTGCAGAGGCATGGGCAAACACAGGCACAGCTGAGCCCAGCACTCCCACGGGGCCTATGCCACTTTCCTGACTGTACTTGTAAGCAGGCAGCCTCATGTCCCCAAATACAGCCCTGCAGAGTGGCCATACAATCACTTGCCCTCATCCCCCGCTGGGCACCTGACACACTTCCCTACTGACGGTAAACTTGTTTCACCTATGTACCAGTTTGCAGAAATCAGCATCATTCCAGCTGTCTGCACAATCCCTTCTGGGTTGACCCTGGGTACGTGGCACTCTACCCTTTGCCTGGTCACCCATTACCCCTTCATGCAGCGCCCCCCCCCCACATTGTGGGCTCTGGGGTGCTGGATTCAAGCTTCACCACTCCAGCCTGATTCCTACAGCCTGGTAGAAAAAAGAGACCAGAACACTCCAAAAGGGGTGGGGGTACAAAGATATGCAATATTCTCTTCCTGTCGCTTTAAACTTGACTTCTGTGAGCTTCTCTGTCAATCTGTGTCCTGTTCTCTGTATCCGTTGCTAGTACCTAGTGTAGTCTCTGTGGGTAGATGCCCTTCCCAGCTCTCTGTAGTGTGCCCTCCTATTCAAACGTCTGTCTCTAGCACGTTTTCCCTTTATATAGTCCTTGTACAGAGTTGCTTCATCATATTAATATTAATAATAATAATTAAAACATGACCGAATGATGATGTGATTTTTTTGAGAAATAATTTTAAACTGAGTCCCCACACATGGTCTCCTCTGCCCAGAAAGAAAAGAATGGGATCCCCATTCCTAGCAGCTCTCCCATTTGATTGTCTCCAGCTCAGGTGAATAATAAAAATAATAAATGTATAATGATAAAGGAAGAATGGTGCAAGGGCAACAAAAATATACGAGCAACAAAGATCTGTTGATGAGCTGCCATCTCTGGTCCCAAGCAATTACTAGCAGAGAGAAAATTGGGGGATAGAAGATTAGGGGGGAGGAGAGGGATATCTGAGGAGTCATGGGGCCATAAAAATAACATAGACAGCCCAGAGGAGGCTGAAACCACCTTCAGGGCCTGAAAGAGGAAGTCTGAGCTGCAGGATCTCCAGGAAGTGAAACCAGGGTAGGGGCTCAAGCAGGTTGGGGCAAGGATGGCAAGAATGCCCTGGGATATGGGGCAGGGGCTGGTGAAAGCACACTTCTAACCCCATGGCTTAACCCCGAGAGCACATTCTGAGCACAGCAAAATGACTAGATATGGGACTAAAGGCCCCTTGGAGCTGGCGAAATAGACTTCCTCTCTCTCGGCCAGATTGCCTCTGGGCCTACCTTGCCAGAGAGAGGCCCAGGTGGAAGCCAGAGTCTGGGTTCCAGCAAAGCCCATGGGCCCTCTGCACCTCCACTTCACCCTTTCATTCTGGGTGTGACATCCTCCCTCTGCCTCTACCCTTGTGCATCTGGCCCCTGAATTTCCCTTTCTCACAGCCTGGTTCCAACCAGGGAGTCTCCACCAGATTCCCTCTCCACCCTCCTGGGCCTGCTTTGGAAAAGCAGAGTCCAAGCCACAACACCTGGCTGGAAATCTTTCTCTCTCTCCCTTTCTTTCCTTACTCCTGCAACTAGAAAAACTAACAAATTTAAATTGAATCCCACTCTCCTTTTGCTCCTAACACACAGCTTATCTGGTGAAGTTGAAGGGTTTGGGCAAGAAGGAAGATCCCAAGCTTTGGGGGGCTCACCATACAAAGGTCCCCACAGAGTATAGGCAAAGCTGGGAACAGAATAGCTTCTGGCAGCCATGAGCTGGGGAGGGACTGGGTGGGGGCTGTGCCTAGGTCTGAATTAATTTGGCGGGGGGGGGGGCGGGGGCAGGAGTTGAATCCCAATGAACCCAGGCATGAGACTACTCTATTCTTAGGACACATCTATATAGGAAGAATTAACAGTGAAGGCATTTCTGGCTAAAAAGAAAGGAGGGAATTTAAGGAGGTCGGAAATAACTGGCCTTTAATTTATTCCCTTGATTTATTCCTGAGACACTCTGGATCTGAGAGAGGAGGTACTTTGCTGGGTCGTGTCTACACAGGTCCCCAAACTCAATAACTGGGGAGACTGTCAGAGAAGGAATGACACTATAACTTCCTCCTAAGGGTTGAAAAACTTATTGTTGGGTATCTGGGCCAAAGAGAATGTCATGGTTGGAGCCTCCATCCAAATACTCAGGGCAAGGCTGTATTCAGCATCTCGGCAAGGATTGCATGTATTTTGCAACTATTTTTCTGGCTTAAACCCTCAAACTACAATTTACTCCATGGACTTTAAGACAAAGAATCTCGTGTCTCTAATTGGGTCTTGAAGAGCAAGAAACGGAGACAATTATCTGGATAATTCAGGTAGAAAATATTTCTGCTGTTGTGTATTTGTAAGCTTGTATCATCTCTGGCCCCTGTTGTCCACCCAGTTCTACTCCACTCTGACCTGCATAGACACAGCTACGGTATTTAAAGCCGCTATCGAGCGGGCGGGAGATGGGTCCGGCAGCCGGGGTTCTGTGGATGCTAATGCAGCCGGAAACCCGGCGCGCGATCGATGGCTCAGACCCGGAGCCGAGCAGGGACCGCCAGCCCCATCTACGAACAAAGCAAACCCCCCGGGGCCTTGGGTTCCGGACAGGCCGGAGCTCCTGCCCACCATCCTCCCCGCCATTACCAGGAAAGTAGGAGCGGTTTTTAGGCCCCGGGCCGGCGCGGGAAACACACCCCAGAGCCCCCAACCCTCTCTGCGCGGCGGGCACATGGAGGCGCCGGAGGGTCGGGTGTAATTCATCGCGCGGCGGGCTGCAGGCGCCGGATCCCGCAGCCGCGCGCCTGCCGAGCCTTAGGCCGGCGTGGCCGCCTTCCGGCGTCTGCCTCGGTCGAGACAGAGCTGCGGGTTTTCCGTCAAGCGTGCGGCCGGCACCCGCCGCCCCGAACGCCCCCCACCGCTGTGGCCCGGCGCAGCGCTCGCGGTCGCCGCTCAGGAGGAGGCTCCGAAACAAAGGCGCGGCGGCTGCTGGTGAGGACACGGGCGCCTGGAGCCCTCCGTGGCCTGGCCGGGTGGAAAGGGCTCTGGGAGGTCGATCCGCGTCCCCGGCCGGCCCCAGCCCCGGCTCCCGTCCGCTGCAGGGCCCCCGGGAGGGGAGACCCGGCGCGCCTCTCAGCCCTCGGCTGCCCCGCGCAGCTCTCCGCCCAACAGCCGCCAGCCGCTCGGGTCGTCGCCCGAGGGCCGCGGGGCCCCCGCGAAGGACGGGATGACCCCTGCTGGCGGGAGCAGTGGAGGCTGGCGAGCGCCGCCCCGCCCAGCCGCTCTGCCCCGAGCACCCCGGGCCTGGGCG